ATCAAAGCCTTTCAAGTCCCATCTTCCCTGTACTCTTCAGCATATCCAGGTTGGGCACTTCTCCAAACACTTAGTGCAGCCTTAGAATAAATTCATCAGTCAAACATCTCTGTTTACTGTGAGTCTGCCATGCCCGGCCCTCAGGTGGCAGAGAACCCTCGCACAGATGATGAACACTGATGAGGCAGTGAGACACAGATGCTGTAAATAGGCACAGGAAATGTTCCAGAGCCATCCTAGAGGGTATGAAGTGGGACCTCATAGGGATTTTGATTTGCATTTCCAGGGCAGGCCCTTTTACAAGGTCATGGTTCCCTGAGGACCTCACATTGATAGGTGTCATCCCCTCAACTCCAAGATCAGCTCATTGAGGGCAAGGGTCAGGAGACATCTTACTCTTCCAAGTATAACCTGCCAGAGCTCCTGTGGCTTAAATAGGTGCACATAGGTGTTAGTGCTCCCCCAAGCCCCCAGATCTACAGTGGGTTCACGTGGTTGGGTACCTGGGGATGATAACCCTGGCACTAGCCACCTCACAGGCTGCACTGAACTTCACCAAGGGGTGGTCTGTGAAGGACACTGAATGTTCAGGCCATCCAGAGGCTCCTGTGCACCACCATTTAAAATGCCTGCCACTGACACTACCTTGCCTACCCATGGGCCTAGGACTTCACATTTCAGTGGATTCCAACTGATTTCCAAATGCCTGAGTGCCTTTTTCCAGACCCATGGAAGGAAAATCTCTTGGTCCCTCTTGTCAGCAGTTCAGAAACACCAGGAAATGACCCCCTTCCAGCCATCAACTCTCAGGAGTTGGTGTGTGAATGTTCCAGCTCCATCCCTGTCTCTGACCCTCCAGGTGCAATCCTTAGGAGCTGCTGCTCTGTGCTGAGTTCTGTAGTATGATTAGGCTCCAGTCACTCACAGTGAGAGCTGGCTGAGTAATCTACTATTATTCTGATCCAACATCAATTTCAATTTGTGGGCTTTTGCCCCACATCAAGCAATTCTCAGACACCAGCAGGGTGTTCCACAATCCAACTCAGTTCTGACACTATCTACCTGGAGATAGTGTCCGATTCCAGAGGTTAAGGGTCTGTCCCACAAGGTTGATTCCACTTCAAATGCCAATCACAAGTTCAGGTCATCACCTGTGCTCTGACTGACTATAAATTAGAGGTTCTCATATCCCTTCTTTAGGTTTGATTAATTTGCTAAGACAGCTCACAGATATCAGAGAAACATTTCACTCACTAGATTAATGGTTTATTATAAAGGATACAACTCAGGAACAGCCAGATGGAAGAGATGAATAGGGCCAGTTGTGGGAAAAGGTGTGGAGCTTCCATGCTCTCTCCTAATGCATCACTCTCTCCAAATCTCCATGCATTCACCTACCCAGAAACTCTCCAAACCCCATCTTTTTGGGTTTTTATGGAGATATATAGTTCAAAGGGAGGTATTGTTGACTGGAGGCTCTCTCCTGGAGTCTCAGGGCAGGCCTCAATGGGGATTCCAAGGATGGTAATGAAAAGAGTTCTGGCTGGCTTGCTGCATAACAGACCAACATGAACCATAGTGGTTTGATAGGGCAACAATCATTTATTTTGCTGATGAATCTGAAATTTGGGCAGGGCTTGGCAAGGAAGGCTCATTTTTGCTCGAAGCCACACCAGCCTGGGCAGCTCAACCCGACTGCAAGGCCCATTTTTTCAAGGCAGCCCACTTGCACAACTGCTGGATTTCAGAATAGCTCAGCTGGTTATTCTCTACATGGGCCTGTCCATGTGACGTGGGCTGTGTACAGCACAGTGTGGTGACTAGATTCCAAGGACATGAGTACTGAGAAAGCCCAGCAGAGGCTATGTCACAGAAGTTACACAGCATCGTTTCTTTCGAACTCTGTCAAAGGCTGACTTACATGGTCACATAGGCCTCCCTGAGCTGATAGAGGGAACCCACACCATCTCCTGATGGGGACAAGGTTCTGGGTGAGCAGTGAGATTGAAATATTTTTGTGGCCATTTTTGGAAAATATAGTCCGCCACAACAAGGAATAAGAAATTACTAGGAATAAAACAGCCACTCTCCATAGCTCATGAGTGTGAGTGTGTGTGTGTGTGTGTGTGTGTGTGTGTGTGTTACTCTTGCTCTCCCTCTCCTTCCCTCTCTCTGGTCACAAGGCTTTTCACCTCTGCTTCATTATCTCTCTCTGTGCTCACATCCACACCTGAGCTCCTAAACTCCATAAGGGCCTCAGTTCCTCCTGCCTTCCCAGAATCTTTCCAAAAGTCAGGTCCTCAAGTGGCCTCCCAGAAATGTAGCCCTAACTCACTCTGATCCATCTACAGGTCAGATAATTCTTTTTAGTCAAGGAGGGAAAACAACACACATTGTTTTTGGTGGCAGTGCATTAGAGGTACTACTGCTCAGCCATCGTTGTAGATTGCTCCAAGTCACACAGCCTCTCATGGCAAACAAATGCTGTTAGATATTGCACCAAAAAACTACATTGAAAATGAGGAAAAGCTTAGTCCTGTGTTTACAGACTTAAAGACCCAAAAGTAACCTGTCTTCAGAGCTGTCAGAGGCTTGGTGTGCATGAGCATATGTGGCCTTCCTCCCTGGATGGACTCCACACAGCAAATGGAGCCACTTGCTTTACTGCTGCTTAAGCCAGGCTCATTTCCAGAAAGTGCCCATGTGATTTGGTGACAAATCCTACCAATTTGTCATTACATTCATCCTAAATTTAAAAGCCAGTTGTTGGAGGAATTGTTGGCAAATAAGGAAGTTGCTGTTGATGCAAAATGTCAAAGCATACCAACTTTTTCTGGATGCTTACTTTGTGCTCGGCCCTGTGCTAAATACTTACTACACATTGTTTCATTAGCTCCTCAGGTAAACCCAAGGAGATGGATATTATTGGGTTGTCGGAGAAGTCATGATGCATTTTTGCAATGAAAAACAGAAAAAATACATCATGACTTTTCCGACAACTATATTACCATCCGTATTCTACAGATGAGGCAGCTGAGCTTCAGGGAGGTTAACTCACTTGCCACAATCAATCTGCTAAGCCACAATAGTTAACTTACAAGCACCTTTATGTGTAAAAGAGTTTCTGGAATCATATTGCAACCAATGGGCTGAGACCTGCCTTGTTCAATTAGAACTGTGCAGCTATATCCTCATTTACATCTTTACCAAACAATCAGAGCAGCTCCATAATGATCAATCAGGACACATGATTCCAACCAATTAGGATAATGCTATGTGAACCAATCAAACTTGCAAATTTTGATTCCTCATTTGTATAGAAATGGACCAATCAGGGACCAGGGCAGGAACTTTCTCTATAAAAGCATCTTTCCCAAAATTCCTTTGTGTTTGGGGGAGGGGGGTGGGAGAAGGAAGCACACTTTCAGTTTTCACCAGATGCTGTGTTTCCTAGGTTTGCAAACTGTTCACCTGAATAGAGTCTCTCCTTTTATTAACCCCAGATTGGAGACTCTTGTTGGCATTAGATTGGTGGTCAGGGACCTTTTGTTGACAAAATGAAAAGGACTTACATGGGAAATACGAGGAAACTTAAAGCAGCACAATATCCAACCTAGTGGGCATGCAGTAAGTCAACTCTCATTTTCATTCCATTGATGCTATGATTTGGATTTTTGTACATTACATCCTAATTTCACTGCCTCAGACTTTATGAAGACATTTTAGTGTAAATATTGCTCCATAGATGCTAGCTCACCCTCTCTATGCAGCCTCCAACTTAATTTTTTATAATCCAAAATTTTCACCTACTTGATTTAAGTGTGGGGAGATTACCTATATTATATTAAAAAGCCCACCCAGTTCTAAATTTGTGCTGAAACCTAACAGCAAGGATTATCTTGGGAATGCAAGCAAAGGTATGCCATAGGTAGGTAAGAAGATATGAAGTGAAGGCACATACACTCTAAAGATCAGTAAACCTCACCATGCCGAAGGCTCTGACAGATTTGCAAGGAATCATTCATTATTCAGTCTCTCGGACCTGTGGATGGACCTGAGATTCTTGAGTCTGAAGAAACCAAATTTTTAAATTTATGCTGTAAACTGTAAGTTTCCCAAGTCCCATGCTAACTGGTTCCATTCTATTGAGCCTGTTGTTAAAAAAAAAAAAATCAGTCCAGATCCCAGCTTAGCTGAAATGCAGCTAGTTTTAGGGCTATAATACCAACCAAGCTCTGAGCCAGAGTTGGAGCCAGGAGGTTTTCCTAGACCAATTCACAGAACACAAGAAGATAAGTGTCCCTATTTGGCATACTTTTGTCACTTCAAGCCTTACCCATACCCTCAACTATTTTCTCACTTTTAGTTGAGTTTCCCACTTAACAAAAATTGGTTTTCCTCTATGTATCCTTTAGGATCAGATCAGGTACTTGATCAGGTAGAGTTCAGTAGAAGCTCTGCCGGCTTCATCATCTTGGTGGAATTAATATTCCTGGTTCCCTCACAGGACATCCTGCCTCTGCACATGCTATCTCTGATTGAAAGCCTTATTTGGGTCACTGTCTGGTCACTGTCGCTGCTGGTTTCCCGTGATCACATCAAGTCGTGAAGTTTCACTAGTCTTTTAACTAGTATCACCCCACCTACTGGTGAATAGAGGACGTGGGAGAAGGGACCTCTCCGTGCTCCGCATACATTCCCTATCCTCTCCCGCTAAGCGGCCTCCTGCGGCAGGAGGGCCGACCTACCCTCAGCTCTGAGGACAGGACTTTGAGTTTTCAACCAATCAGGGACCCTACCTGACCAGTTGCGGATTCTATGATCCGGTTAGACCAATGAAAAGTCCAGCACGGATTTGCTGTGGTCTTCTGAAAAAAAGCGCCCCTCCCGGAAGTCGCCACCTCCTTTGAGCCACACCTAGGCGGAGCTAGCCTACGGGCCCGCCGTCCCACTGGTTGGCACAGTTGCCCGTCACAAGGAGGTGAGAGTGGGCGGGGCCGGGGGCGCTGGCTTTTGCGCCGAGCACCGACTGCCGCGCGGGAACCCGTATAGGCCGGTGTCAAGCTCCCGGTTCAGAGGGCTTGGCGACTCCCGAGAGGAAGAGGCGGGCTCGAGGACGGCTTTTCCTGCCTCCTCCTGAGGCGAGCGGCAGAGTAGCGCAGAGTCTCGGCAGGCAAGCCCGCGCGCCACCTTCCGGGGCTGGCCCTCCGTGGAGCTGCGGCCCGGGCGGGGCGTGCGGGACTAGGGGCTCGGTACCGCAGTTGATCAAGGCCGCCATCTCCCACGCTGACCCAGAGCCACCCAGCTGACCGAAATAGCCACCCACGTGACCCGAGGCAGCCCCACTCACACTCGACTTAACCGGTGCAGGTACGTGATCCCCAGCCAGGCAGTCTGAAGACCACAGGGTAGGCCGAGGAATCCACGAGACATTTCCCACTTGTGTGCCCCACACTATCCCTCCGGAATAAGCCGGTTTTGTCCTTGTCCACATGGCGGCGTTGCAAATCTATCAGGCTTATTGCCTGTGCGGAAATCTAGGCAGTAAATTCGCTTGGGGATTAAGAGTATGTGCTTGAGCAGGTCCCTGGCCAGAACATGGCTGGGGAGCGTATGCTTTATGTGTTTGATTAAAATCCACTCACCACCAGAAATAAGGCTTGTTGCATCTTCTCTGGTACCGCCCCAAAGACAGCGAGCTTCACAGCCTCGCTTCTTATTCCACTTTTCACAGCCTCATTATTTTCTCTAATTTGATGCAGACAGGCTAACCGGAAGCTCTGTGGGTAACTGAACCACACAGGGATTGGCGGTGGTCGTTTTAATGCGTATGGGGGAGAAGCAGGTTAAACTGTGGACAGACCGCTTTGGCAGAGCTGGAAAACGTGAACCGGGAACGGGTGGAGAAGGAGCGGTTCCAAAATTGAACTGAGCTGGTGGAGAGAGAGGAATGCCAATGTGAGGAATAATGTGGGTTTTGGGTGGTTGGGAATTCCAGCAAGAGAGAAATGTGGGCTCCTGAAAGAAAAATTTCAAACTAGCCATCCTGGAACAGTGCTCTTATAGACTTGATATCAAAAGTGCAGGAACTTGGGCCTGCCGAGTGGCGCTGGGATGCCAGCTCTGAGCAGCAGGGCCCCGGTTCGGATCCCACATGAGGGCCAGTGACGCTGTGCCCTCTACAGCTAAGATGGTGAACAACAGCTCAACCTGGAGCTGGGCTGCTGTGAGTAGCTGGCAACAGAGTAGGCTGCAGTGGGGCTGGCCAGCAGTGGGCATGAGCTTTCAAGAGCTGCGGTAAGCGGCTGTCCAATGGCCGGCGACCGATCTCCCTCAGCAGGGAAGACCGCAATGATCACAATACCAACATGGGTCAGTGAAGCAACGTCCTCCACAACTAGACTGCAGAACAAAAGGACAGCAACTTGTCTGTTCCCCTTCCCCAACGCTGTTCCCCTTCCCCAATTCCCCAATAAAATCTTTAAAAAAAAGGGGGGGGGGCAGGAACTTAAAAAGCAAGCAAGTAAAAGGACAACGTAGTCTTGACAACATTTTCAAGTGCCACACACATTCTTATAAAGGATAAATCAGGAGTGTACATACTGTGAAGACCTTGATCTAGACCTAAGTTTCAATTTTCTTATTAGTAAATTTGTTATTATAGGAATACCCTCTCATCGTCCATTCATGGTGACCGTTATATGAAGTAATGCATGTAAAGCACTTAGTAAATACTAACCCAAGAGTGTTTGTTGAGGTTAGACTTTAGGTCCATGGAGAGAGTAGGAAACCCAACAGCTGTACCTGGCTCTGGAACTGCTCATTTCTAGGACCAAGCTCCCTCCCAGCTCCTTACAGTTCTTTACAGGAAGTGGAGGCCTCCACTGTTCTCAGCCCTTGAGTACCTGACTCCTTCCCAGTCCTGTGTGGAATCTTTTATGTATTTCATAAACTGATATTTCAAAAAAAGTTCTGGCCTGTGAAATGAAAAAATTAGTCAATATTTAATTTCATAATTCTAAACATATCCACTATTTTAGTAATGTCCTCTGTTGGATTTTTTTTTTTAGTGAAATATTTTAACCATGCAGAGAAGAACAACTAGAACAGCAAACCAGACCCTGAAAAAAATATTTCTTTATGCTTTGAACTTTTTTTGAAAGCAATGTTACATTTCAGCTATAGTAGAATTTTTTTTTTTTTGCCACCACCAGCCCCACGACCACCCAATAGAATTTCTTCGATTCTAACTTGTCTTTCCATTGTGTCTCACAGGACTTACCTAGTGGGTATTTGTGCTCACAGATGCTAGGTATTCTCCATTCTCATTCCAGTCAGCCATCAGGTTTGCTTCTTATAGCTTATAAGAATTATGGCCACCATTTTGGTTCTGCCCTCTTAGCATTTGTTCTCTTACCCTCTTAAGAAGCCTCCCCTTTTTTTGCCCTTCCAGTCTCCATTGGGTGAACTCATGATAGGCTTTCTCAGACTGTTACCAGCTGATTAGCATATGCCATCTGATTGGCCTTTATTGGGCTACTGTTCACTTCAACATGGTCCACTGTCTTTACCCAGGATAAACTGGTTCCCCACTTCTCTAGGGACAGCCACACCTGTTCCACACTTTCAGGAAAAAAGTGGCCTTCCATAGTCCAATATTTTATAAAAGAAGATGTTTAAAATTCATAGTAATAGCTGCCATTTTCTGAGCATGTAGGTATCTGGCTTTATAACTATGCCACAAATGGTAATATTCCCATTTTAAAATGAACAAACTGAAGCTTAGTGAGAATAGGTGCTGGCAGCAATTTGAGCCTAGAGTCATCTCTTTATGGTATGTAATTGTTTTGCCACCGATAGAAAAGGAGGAATGTTCCATTTTGGGGGCAGAACGAAGTTTGGCATTCTCATGAGTTCCTTTCAATCTTCTACCCTGCAGCTCCGGCTCCATCAGGTACAGGAAGCACCTGGGCGGAGGTCTCCTTCAGCAAAGCCAGAGATGGCATCAGTGGACTTCAAGACCTACGTGGATCAGGCCTGCAGGGCTGCCGAGGAGTTTGTCAATGTCTACTACACCACCATGGATAAGCGGCGGCGTCTGCTGTCCCGCCTGTACATGGGCACAGCCACCCTGGTGTGGAATGGAAATGCTGTTTCGGGACAAGAGTCCTTGAGTGAGTTTTTTGAAATGTTGCCTTCCAGTGAGTTCCAAATCAACGTGGTAGACTGTCAGCCTGTTCATGATGAAGCTACCCCAAGCCAGACCACAGTCCTCGTTGTGATCTGTGGAACAGTGAAATTTGAAGGCAACAAACAACGAGACTTCAACCAGAACTTTCTCCTGACCGCCCAGGCCTCGCCCAGCAATGCAGTGTGGAAAATAGCAAGTGATTGTTTCCGGTTCCAGGACTGGGCCAGCTAGTAGGGCGGGAAAGGCCTCTGTTTCAGCCCCAGCTCTGGAGGGAAACTCAGACCTCAAAATGTAAGGACACAAATTCCTGTTTGTTGTTGCAGCTATACCACCCAGGCTGAACTCTGCATTTGCTTGAGTTCAGGAAGCCCCTTTCTGAGTGTAAAGTTGTTGATCATAGTTGCCTTTTCATAGTAGTAAAATTTTCTATTTTTCTACTTGCCTGATAGAGACCCTGGTTCTAGAAATTCTGACAAATAAAACAATAATACAAATGTTGTTCCTTTTCCCTTGCCTGATGTGTTTGACTAGGTTTTAAGGAGGAGGAGGGTTAAAGGCAGTAAGCTTAGTAAAAGGCATCTGCTGAGGTATGTGGTCCAGGGCCAACCACCTGCCCTAGACACAGGTGTAGGAGCCAGGCTTCACAGCCATCTCCACACTGGAATTCCTTGGGACACTTTGAAATTCCTTTTACTCAGGCCACGCATCCCAGACCAACTGTATCCGAATATCTGAGTGTAGTCCTGGTCATTGGCATCTTTCAAAAGCACCCTAAGTGTCTTAATGTATAGTTCACTTTAAAATACATCAGAATCACCTAACAGAGGTAGTTGGACACTACCTTAGAACCTTAGCTGAGTATTAAATTAGAACAGGTGAAATACTAAAGAGCTAATAACTGCTTGTAAATGAAGCATCTATATTAACTACTCTCTTACAAAGAGAAAGCGAATAACTGATTTTAAGAGGAAGAGGTACTGAGGTTGGGATGGCGGAAGCATCAGAATTAGAAGATAGTTTTATTGATTCTGAAGAACAACTCTAATTGCATTTGTCCAATGTAAAAAAAAAGAAAAAATTGTAGAAGATTCCATAATCCTTTGACCAATAGATGAGATCTCGTAGCCATGTGACTTCACCAGTTAAATTTTCTTTGACAAATGTGCTAGGATTGACATTGGGTTGTAGGTTAGGAGTTGGATAGAGAATTTGAGATGGTAAAGAATACTGATGTGTATGTTGATACAGATGACAGTTTTCCTCCTAATATCCTTTCCCTTACCTACTTACTGAAGCCCAATGTTTAGTGGACAAAGTACTCACCTGAAAGAGGACTTCCCAGCTCGATTTATTTCTAAGTTTGGCATATGACCAAGTCCCAGCCAATGATGAAGCAGAAGGGCTAGGCTTGTAGGAATCTTGCTTCAAAAGACCCTTCTCCCTTCCTCCGTCCTGCTGCCTGGAAAGCAGCTGATGGCTGGACCGCTGGCTCTGGCTCAACCTTGGGCCATGAGGACAGCTCAGCTACACCCTAAAGGTAGGTTTGTATTGAGGAAGGAGCCTGGGTCTCTGGTGACCATGTTAAACCACCAAAATGGCCCCAGTTTGCCTACCTCCTGACTTCTTAAATGAGAGGTAAATCCTATCTTTAAGCCATTATTGGTTTAGGGTGTGTGTAACCTACCATAGCAAAACCTATCCCCAAGTGAGAAAAAAGGTTTGCAATGGGCAGATAGTGGATGTGTTGTAAGGAAATGGCTCTGCCATGGCACTCTGGGTGTGCCCAGGTGTGTTCCTTACCCTCAAGGAGTTCATAATCTAAACAGTAGGCAAGGCATCAAAATAGTAAAGCCAATTTCAAAGCCACATACAAAGAGTGGTCCAACAAGTTAAATATGTGTGTACATAGTAAGCCAAGACCAGCAATTCAGCTGAAATGCTGGTAAAATACATATAAGATACAAGAGTGAGGTTCCAAACCAGGATGTAGACTTTTCAGAGACCCTGGAGCACTGTCCTTCAGGGAGGCTGATGGAGTGGGGTGGGAGGATTAGTGCAGAGATTGGCTTGGAGGGAGATGGCTGCTGGACTTCAAATCTCAAAGGTCTTAAGGGACCCAGGTGGAACACCACCTTTATTTACCTGAGGCCTGGATAGAGGATGCAAGTCTCATCAGGCCCTCAGAGAGCTTGACATGAACTCCCAGTAGTCTGAATCATGTTGGCCTGAGAAGCTTCAAGACAATGGCTCTTGTCCCCGTGGAACAATACATTTAAGAAATAAAAAGTATAGGTGGTATTCTGAAAGGCACTAGAGTAAGCCTCTAGTGGCCTACCAGTATCCATACTCCCTTCAGGAACAGGGCAAATGGGTTTTTGGTTCAGAAAGCACTGAGATGAAAAACCAATCGTCCCTAGACCACCTAGTTAGGGTGAACCTGTGACTCGATGGGGCAAGTGAGGTGTATGAGCGCACAGATTGTGAGACAGACACTTCAGAGAGGTCTTGGAAGATTGGAGCAGCCAATCTTTATTCCCGTCCCTTCTTTCCTCCCAACTTTACTCCATCCTGCCGTTTGGAAAGCAGATATCAGGGTTGGTGTTCTAGCAGCTCTAGGGGGCCATAAGGCCCAATCTGACCATGTGAAATGGATGAAGGAATGGAATGCAAGCCCTGGGGTCCCTGTCAACCTCATGGAATGCCTCACCAGCCTTGGATGAATCCGTCTGGCTTGTCTCAGGTGAGCAAGAAAGACACTTCCATTTTATTAAGCTACTGTTGTTTGGGGGCCTTTTTACACGCAGTCAAATGTAACCATCAGTGAAAAACTAGAGAAGGATATGTGCAACAAAGGACAGGACTTAAAGGTCTGACAAGTTCGCGAACTTGCCACCATGCATTTACATTGGCAGCACTGTACAACAGCTTGATAAGGTTTCATAACCTTGGTATATCAGTGTCTCACAGCTATGTCCGTGTTGACATGTGGCGGTGTCTTGCTGAGTAGTGGGCATTATCATTGTTGCGTGTTTTTGTGTGCTGTCATGAGAATGTCAACTTGAATTAGAACAACAAACAAACTTCTTGGTAAACTTGGCAAGAGTGGAAGTGAAATCAGGAACATGTTAGTCCAAGTTTATGAGGATAATGCCATGAAGAAAATGGCAGTGTATAAATGGATTAAATGTTTTTCTGAGGGGAGAGAATGCGTCACTGATGAAGAGAGGTCAGGGTGGCCAGTAATGAGCAGAACTGACGAAAACTGCAAAAATTTGTCAAATTGTGTGTCAAAATCGTCGGCTGACTGAGAAGCATAGCAGACCAAGTAAACATCAGTAGAGAAACAGTTAGGAAAATCTTAACTGAAAATCTTGGCATGAGACAGGTGTGTGCAAAAATGGTCCTAATGGAGCTCACCAATGAACAAAAACAAAGGAGAGTCGAAGTTTGCCAAACCTTTTGGTGAGGCAAGATGGTGTTTTGGGCCGTGTTATCACTGGTAATGAAACATGGGTGTACCAATACAAGCCTGAAACAAAACGTCAAAGTGCACAATGTAAGTCAGCCAATTCTCCACAACCAAAAAAGTTCCGTCAGTCCAAATTAAGAATCAAAACAATGTTGCTAACCTTTTTTGCTATCAGAGGGGCTATTCATTATGAATGTGTACCAACTGGACAAACAGTTAACCAAGTTTCCTATTTGGAAGTGCTGAAAAGGCTGTGTGAAAAAGTTAGATGAAAATGACCTGAACTTTTTGCCAACAATTCATGGCTCTTGCATCATGATGATGCACCAGCTCACACGGCATTGTCTGTGAGGGAGTTTTGAGCCAGAAAACAAATAACTGTATTGGAACACCCTCCCTACTCACCTGATCTGGCCCCCAATGACTTCTTTCTTTACCTGAAGATAAAGAAATATTGAAAGGAAGACATTTTGATGATATTCAGGATATCAAAGGTAATACAACAGCTCTGATGGCCATTCTAGAAAGAAAGTTCCAAAATTGCTTTGAAGGGTGGACTAGGCACTGTCACTGGTGCATAGCTTCCCAAGGGGAGTACTTCGAAGGTGACCATAGTGATATTCAGCAATGAAGTATGTAGCACTTGTTTTAGGATAAGTTCATGAACTTAATTGTCCGAACTCATATTTCGTTACTACATAAAAAACCCTTACAAATCAGTAAGGAAAAAAATCAGTAAGAAAAATCAGAGGAAAAAACAGCACAAGAAAAGAATTAAACAGGCAAATCACAAAAATATATATGGAAGGAAGGGAGGGAGGGAGGAAATGATGCATAAACTCACAATTTATTGTAATAGAATTAGCCACAGTCTGCAATGGACACTGATGGTGTCCCGACATCTATCCCTCTCCCTATTGCATAGCAGCACCTAAGTGATGCCAGGCGGTACAAACTCCACCCCCCTCACCCTCATCAGACTGACAAGAGCCAGTAAACTCCAAACTCCCCAGTGCTTGCCAGGGTGGGACCTCGGGGTGCTAGTGTCTGTTGCCACATAAGAAGGGGGGGGCAGGGGACAGAGTGTTTTGGGGAGAGGTTTCCTGGGAGAAAGCTGCCCCCCTGCTCCAAGACCTCTATTCTGTACCTCCAACAGGGAAGATTGGTAAGATGCCATCTCCCTCACTTTTAGCACAGAGAGAAGGGGCTTTGACAGGACCTGCTGAGCTTAGCAGAAGCATCCTGGAGTCTGAGACCCCACTGGACACAGCCTGAAGGGACCTTGAGCCCAGGACCACTTGGGACAGCTGGGCTAAGCTCAGTGTTGCCACTGTGTTGGGAAGGATCTCACCTCCCTCGAACAGAGAGCATTCACCCTGGGGACTGAATGGAGAGCTGGCAGGACTAAGGGACAGGGTAGCAGGAGGGACAGTGGCTGCTGCATTGGGGTGAGCCTGTCCTCAGGGGCAAGCCTGGGTCACCTTCCTGGCTGAGACATGGGCCTGAGCAGGGATCCCATCCAGGGAGTGTCTCAGGTGCTTGATGATTAGGCCCTTTGGAGAAGCTAAGAGGAAGGTGGATGTAGTCCTCAGGGTTCCTCAGAGTCACTAGGGGAGGAAGAGCCCTGCAAAACAGGAGGTGTGTTCTCCAAGGCCAGAAGAACTCAGCAATGTTGAGAGCTTCAGAAAACCCATTCAAGTGCCCTAGCAGAGAAAAAAATCACAAGTTCAGAGAGAGCAAACTCTTCTTACCAGAATGCTTACCTCCAAAGGGTCATGGTTGAGAAACTCAGGGGTGATTGAGGTAGGTGCAGGTGGCTAAAAGGATGCCTCTGCCTCCTCCAAGATGGTGACTGACCTGGCTGAGAGAGGAACAGGGTACAGGGACTTTTAACACTTGAAGCTTTGCGGGGGAATTTAAGTGAATGCAGGACTGTTTCATCTAAGAGTGAGCACAAGGTGTCATCAGGATGGTGGGGAAAGTGCCCCATTGAAGGGGATGTGGGGGAAGCATAAGCTGTACCACCATC